TTAGTGTAGTTATTGATCTACTGTCCAAATCAACCCTGCAGAGAAGGTACACAACAGGAACTTTGCCTGTCTACTCAGGCTGTACACTAAGGAGCTGTATAATTGTCTGTTCTTACTGTAACCCCTAGTACATTATTATGGTCAGTGCAGATAATCAATTACAAATTCTAATTTTTTTTTTAAATGTTGCATTTTTAAGATTTTCTTGGACAGGAAGGCCCTATTCCTTAGCTGCCACCGAGGAGCATACAGTGCAAATCAGGAATGTTGGAAAAGTTACAGTAAGACACCTCTGTATTTCCCTGGTCCTGGATCAGCTCTGTGCTGGACTATACCAGGCACTAGTTGCAGCCTGAAAAGTCCTCTAAATTACACTGCCTGCCAATGATCACAAGGACCAGTTAGGACAGTTGAGGATCCCAGGGCACACTGAAGCCCTCAAACTAGCCACAGGAAGGTGTGGTGGAGTAGGAGCTTTATCCTCATTCTATAATAGTAAAGGATCACCTAATCTAGGGTAATTTTCTTGTGGCTGGGCATGGTAGAAAGCAGAGTTGAAGACATGGGATGACCTATCCAGTTTCATATGCTTTATATGTAAACATTTTTGTTTCTAGTTTTTAAACTTACAAGGTGAATGGAAAGGTTTTGGTTTTGTTCTTTTCTTAAGTGGAAGAGTGAAATAACGTAAAGAGCTCCAGCCTTGTTTCAGAACTCAAGTCATTAATAGGCTATGTGGGCAAGCTTAAAAATCAAATAAAACATTGGTGATAGGAACTGGAAAGTGTTAACAGTTGGGACCAAGATTCAAACATTCAGGAATTCTAAGGATACCAATAGCATATTAAATCCCTGGCTATTCAAAGACTGATGCCTCTGCATAAATCTTTGGGGACAATGTCTGCAAAGCACTTTGAAGAAGTGAAGCCCCATATAAGTGCTAAGTGTTATTATTGATTTAGTGGTTAGAGATGTTGCTAACTTTTGTAGTGGGTACAGCACTCTGAAAACATTTGTGCTTGAATTAGCTGCCAAGTCCTTAGTTCAAGTATTAAGTCTTCACACATATTCTGCTGCTTATTTATCACACTCAAGAATTACCGAGTGTCTTCTGAGACTCCTCTCCAAAAGAAATAGACTCAATTCATGCTCCAGAGAGCCTTCATTTTAAATAAGACATGGCAAGGACAAGTGCAGGTTATATACAGACAGAAAAAGAGGAAGACAAAAGGCAGGAAAAGAGTCACAGCCATCAGATAATCTGGTTTTGTAACAAGGTTTTTCAAAGAATGATTTTATGCTTTTTGTAGATGATCTACCAGAAATTAACTTTGTTAGTAATCTGGGATCATTCAGTAGTCATTTAAAAGTCTCATTTTAAAATTTCTCTAATGTTTTCCCCCATAAAAGAAATGCCAACAATTGTATAATAATGCTGCCTGAAAATAGAGTACATACTGTGGACGATAGTTAACTCCGTAATCCAAGTATTTCAGCCACCACTTCTGTTCTGCACTGGCCAACTGCAAAAATAAAATAAAAACAACAAACATCTTTAGATTTTACCACCATGTTTAATATAATATCCCAAGATAGAGGACTGGCCTTTACCCACCCACATGGAAAACTCCCTTTTTATGTAAATAGTTTAACAGAACCAGGATTGGAATTTACAAGAAATATTGATCTTGGCTATAAGCTACGCAATGGGAATTCTCGAATTCCAGCTCATAAAGGGACATTATCAGGTCAGATATTTAAGAAACTCAAATCTGTTTCTAATAATTATTTACTATTAAAACCAATGGAACATCCACATTATTTTTCCACTGTTTACTATATTTTGCATGCTTACATTTCACTCAGTTGGGATGATAAAAATCAGGCTAATCAGTTTCAATTTCAGGTTATGTGCTAATGTACAGAGATTCTCCAATTTTTTTCATAGTAGGTCACATCTTATAGTGATCTTAATGACATCTTCACATCTTGTGCATCCATGAAAGCATATGGCATCTGCTCTCCCATTCAAGACCATATAATACTTTTGTGGGATTTACAGCAATTACTTAGATTGAAAGGCAATGGACAGCTTTTGTGTATTTGTAGCTGTCTTTGTTTAAAAAGTTCAAGACACTTATTATACTAGAGATAATCATACTGCCTTACATACTTCATTTTGGGATGGATCTTCTGGTTCAGCCAAGTAGTACTCAGTGCAGAATAAAGGGGAGGAAAGTAAGGAATGATTTTAAGACACCTTTGCTGAGAATAGGAGGGGGAAAACAGTGTAGTGAGCCTGAGGATCTAGCCCTTAAATCTCTCTCTCCCCCATCTACATAGTTTCTCTCACCTGGAAACAAGGGAGAGAGCTACCTCTTTGTGGACCAATAGGAAGTGTCCTTGGGACCATCCAAATCCTCTGCACCTGTACAGGAACTTCTGTGCTAGCACAATGAAGTAATATTTGCATTGAAAAGAGCACAGAGGACATTTTAAAATAAAGAATAACATGGTTTCAATTGAAATAAAGGTGCAGTACTGTAATGAAAACTTACTTAGGGGCCATTCATACCCTGTAGCAGTCAGTGAGAAATCCTTTTTGTAGGTTGGGGGAAGAGGGAGGAGGGCTGAATTGAGGTCCCTTTTCTCTCACCACTGCACAGAAAAACCAGAGGCTATGTATAGAAACAGAGCCCCCTTGGCTACAAGAACCAACTTAAGAAGGGGTTCTAGGAGCAGGCACTTGCTGCAGTGTATCTAATAACTCAACAGGAGTCATCTGTCAGGCAGACATAACACATAACTCTTGATGGTGAGGTGGCACAATTTAAGGGGGGCACATAACTCTTAAAGGAGGAAGACATGTGATGTCCCCATGTGTCATGTTTGGCCTCAGGAGCAGCAGCAGAACCAGAAGCACCAGGGCAATGGCAAGCAAGCACCATAGCAGCTCACAGAAGCTGAGCTCTGCAGGAAGGGGCCAATGCCATTGCCGGACAGCACAGGCTGGCTCCCACAGCATGGAGAGACAGGGTCCAAGTGAGCCAAGCAACACCCACAAACTTCTGATCTGCCAGCTCCTGACAGGTGGCAGGGGATAGTTTTAAAACCGTGGAGTGCACCTGCAGTTCAAAACTCTGTGCTAAATGGAAGGCAGAAATTTGGGAAGGAGCACATGACCCAGTGTGTGCCCTCCCCAACCCCACATTGCCTCTGTTGCCAGAGAATCAGAGCATAGCTCTGATGTGCCCAAAGTTGGTGTGGAGTCATAGAGCTTTCTTGTGGATGACCACATGTCTCCAGTAGACCCTTCAAGACTGTAAAAGAGCTGCAAAATTGAAAGGCTGGACTCACTAGTTATTTTTACTGGGGGCAAACCCCATATTAATCCTAATAGAACAATTATAAGAAAACTTCATGAGGGGACCCTGTTAGCTTCTCACTTCCCATCAGTAAAGAGTGATGTGATATCTCGATGACACTGAAAAAAGGCAGTAACAGAGGTAGGGCAGTCTCAAGTCTTTTTTTTTTTAAATGATTTCCACAGAACAGCTGATTTCCTGATTACATAAACTATTCACTCTGCCCTACAGACACTGATCACATCAATTTATTGCTGGTTTCTAATATACTCCTCTCATTCAGGTAACAGTATGATGTCCCACTGCTGGAACACACATATACACAATTACTATACAGAGCGACACTTCCTGTTGAACCCATGAACAGTAGTATGTTTATGGAAATCTTGTTACAACATATCTTTGCTCTTCAGAGCTCCTCTTTTGGTAAGATTATTTTAGCAGGCTACTTTAAATTTAAATACTCAAATGCAGATGTAAAGGAGATTAAAACCAAAATGGATTATTTTATTTTTCAGATAAGCTTTTTCTTTTGTAGGCATTTAAAAAAAACTATTGAAGTCTATATGTCAGTGAAAAATTAAGAGAAGAACATTAACATTCTTATATTGGAAACACTTGCAACAAAGAATTTCTGAAGTACAATGTATTTCATTACCTGATCTATTTTGTTTAGGAGTACCCTTAGTTTTGTGTAAGAGTCAACAGATGCTAAGTCACTATCGTTATTTGCACAATAGAAAGCAGCTTCTTGGTAGCTCAGGTGTTTATCTGGCACAAACCAAAATTCAGCTTCATCAACAACAAATGTCGGTCCATGATTTCCATCTACATCTGGGGAACAAAAACCACACACATATAAGCATTAATCCTGAAAAACTATTACACTACATAAAAGAAAAGGTTGGGCAATCTGGGTCTGATGCTGAGAAGAGTTGTATTTACTTCTCCCACTGAAATCAATGAGAACTGAGAGTATTGGCCTGTCTCCGAATCAGGCCTTCTGTATGTCATCATGAGCTTCACCAACATGAGAAAGGAGAGAATAGTGAGAAACACTAGACACAAGTAACTGAGATATATGTTAAAAAAATGTACCTGGTGTATACCAGTCTGGTATCTTCGGGGTAATACCTGAGGAGAGAAAGAAATAATCTCTGATCCTGCATTCCTGATACATATACTTCCACTGAAGTCAAGGAGAACTTTGCATGTTTATGCACCAACTTAAAGTTACCAAAACTTATTTTTCTGACCAATTAAAACATTTACAATCATTCCAGGCTATTAGATGCTAAAACTCCTAACTTCTCAAAAAAATCAAGTGTCTCTTTTCAGAACCCTCATGCCATCCACTCTTCACCCTCACCAGAGTCCTTTTTTTGCTACTCTGGAGACCCAAGCCATAACCAGCTATTTTCATCTGCTTGGTGACTGTCTCTTTTCCGTATGGTTTTATGCATCTCCATACACACTGAGTGGGGGAGCTTCAGCCACCTCGCTCTCCCCCCACCCGAAAAAACAAACCCTGACCTTGCTTTAAGTTATGATAAGGAGGAAGCTGCATACCAGCTTTGGTGATCCTAGCTCTTTCCATTTAGGAGGAGTTCTTGAACAAAACAGATGGACGGACAAACAAACTTGCTCACTCACAGACACAAACTCTCAAATATATACAAGTTGGACTTCCTGGTTGGTCCTTAATGAGGGGATTTGCTAGACCAGGGGAGGTCCCTCCCGTCCTGGCCCATGCTAAACCGCTGCCCACCCCCAACTCCTCCCTGCTACCCCTGGATAGGGCTCCAGACCCCACTTCCCTGGCTGCTCTCTGGCCAGCCATTGCTCCCAGGGCCAGAGCTCTCCAGTTTTCACTGGCAACTGCTGGTGCCGAGGTCAGAGCTGCTTGGCCGGGGCTGTAGCTTCCGGGCTGTTGCCAGAGCCAGAGCTTTGTGGCCAGGGCTGGTGCTGCACAACCACTGCCAGCTCGCTGCTGCTGCCTGGCTGCTGGGGCCAGATCTCTCCCCTGTGCCTCCCACTCCCATCTGTGGCCAGATCTCCCTATACCTGAACTTTGTGGAGGGCCAGATCTCTCCCCTGTGCCTCCCACTCCCACCTTTGGCCAGATCTCCCTATACCTGAACTCTGTGGACCAGGAACATCTGCGGTCCTGCCAGACCATGGATGTTGCCAGACCAGAGTGTCCCGGTTAAGGAAGTACAACCTGTAGTAGATTTTGCTTACAAATTTTAAATAAAGCACGTAGTTCCAGCATTTATATGCTCTGTACCTCCCCACCACACTAAGGTCCCTACATTCACTGTGGCACATTTTTCATTCCAAGCAAATTTAAGTGATAGAAGCAAGATAGAAACCAGAGAAGTGATGTAAGATTCTTTACCAAGAAATAGTTTATTTGTATGTTTTTGGAATATACACAGTTTTATAAACAGGAGTTTATGAGCCATGCTAGGGATTTCAGGCCTTGACCTATATACTGTTATGCCCAGTTGGGTGGAGGATGTGGTAAAGTAACGGTTATCAAATTTATTGCACTCATATCCTTCTTTTCATCAAGTAGGGGCAAAAAACCCCTCCAACAAACCACCACAAATTGTGAATTTCACACAACTTTAGAAAATATAAATCCCAGCTGCTGTTCATGCATCAACCCTACACTTCCTATGCATCAAGCACCCTCTCAATTTGATCATAAACAGGATTCCAAATGTAACAACTGGTCTCTTCCTATATAAATAAAGTTCAAGGCTCGCTCTCCTATTCTAATGATAGAAATGTAGCCATGTTAGTCTGGTGTAGTCCTGTTTTTTGTTCTCCCTATTCTAAGGCTTCCAGGTCTTCTATTTCAAAGTCAGAGATCCTGGGTTTACTGTTAATAACGATAAAGTAAAAAAAGTAATTCAAGATGTTTTAAACAAAAATCAGATGAGAGTTTAGATGAATAAATGGATGTAAATGCAGCTTTTACCTTTTGTTATTTGGCAAACCCATTCCAGTCTAGCATCACAATGGAAAGGTTTTAAATAAAAATCCAATTGTCTGTCTTCATAAAGTCTCAAAAAATACCTCGGTCGTATTCGAGTGGTCTGCGCAAAAGTAGGGAGGGGGAAATGGTGTTCACATATTAGATACAAAGTTCTGGAGCAATAACATTGTTTGAGACACTTGAGATTATCCCTGATGACAAAAGTCATCTACCCTGATGCCAGTTACTTGCAATTTTAACTGAATTTTTAAAATGATAAAATACAACTTCAAAAATAGACACTGAATGACTAGAGTTTATGAACAGTCAGTTTAAAATGTATCCACTCACAGAAATCGCCTCTTGCAACTCACTACAACTCTACGTTTTTCACACATTTCATCTGTGTTTATCATGGAGTAATATTCTCTGCCCTTAAAGGATTTTCATATCTGCCCTAAAGGGACAATCACCTGAAATGGCTAGAAATAGGATTCTCCTTTTTTATAATCAAGCTAAAAAAGCTCAATGCTACCTCTTGGTTCCTACAATACAGTTAATATTAGTTTCTTCAGTCTTACAGCACAGGATCAGAATCTTATGCTGAAATCAACAGTTACAAAAGCCACGATGCCCACTTCATACTTGTTTAGGGATAGTCTCTCATCCAAAAATGTATAAGCCTAAACTCTCATCTAAAATTTTAAGTTTAAAGGCTTGGTTCCTGTGAGTTGCAAATAGGGGCAAAAGTGTAGTGACCACCCCCCATTCAATGAATGCTAAATGAAAGGGGGCTCTGTCTTCATGGAAGGCTGAGACCCAGCGTGGTCCCAATACAGGAAACCAGGTCACCGTATGGAAATGTTTGAGAAATGATGTTTTAGAAATCAGACCACAAGGGCAGAGTTACATAGTAATGTAAGGGCTGGGTCCTTAATTTTTGTTTTTAGAAAATAAAATGAAAACGTATGTTTCATTTGAATCATTGCTCTGGGGTGGGATTAGGGAAAAGGGGTTCAATAATGCAGGCTGCCGCGGGGAAAGAGGATTACCCCTACCCTCTCTCACACCGCAGCAGAAGCGCCTCACCATCGCTGCTGCAGCTCCAGCGGGCAAAGCTGGGGGAATGGGGCAGACACGTCTGCCTCTTGGGCCCCACTGCCAGAGTGAGGAATGCAGCAAACCATGCCCTTTCCCCTCGCCCCCTGAAGAAGGGGAACAGCCAGCAATGTTCTTGTATGAATCAGGGGGGAGGAGAAAGGGAGCTTCAGCCCCATCCCCTACCCCCTCTCAAAGGTGGCTGATGGGGTAGGAGGCTCGGGGCTGGGGTAGTCCTGGACAAAGTGGGGTGCACTGGCAGCCAGCCCCTTTCACCTGCTAGATTCAGTCTCTTTTCTGTATGGTTTTATAAGAATCTCATTCTAGTCTCATCCCATCATCCTGGCACAACTAACCCCTTACCTTGATTTAAGTGATAAGAAGAAGCTGTATACTGAATTTGGTGGTCCTAGCTCTTATTGTTTAGGAGGAATTCTTGGACAGAGGCTCATAATTACAATATTTTGCTAAGCTGTGCTATATGTTATGTATTATTACCGTAGTATTTTAATAGAAGTAAATAAGTCTTGTAAGGGAAAACCTCTCTACATGTTGTTAGTAAATATTTACTCAGCAGTGAGGTATAACTGCTGTTTTTTTTGGGTGAAAATTAGCAGGTTTGTGAATTAAGAAGTTTAGCACCTTTCTACTGTATACAGTTAGAAAATTACAACAGCAAAGTTTAATGTATATTTTTAAAAAACAAGTATAAAGTAAATATACTGTAAATAGAAGGCTCACAAATATATCAATATTATTAAAATCTTTAAACTTACCTTTAAAGCAGCACAATCTCTAACATCATCTCTTGTGAAATCATGTAGCAGAACAGTTGTTTCCTACAGAAAGGGGAAGGATGACAGAATTGTGACTTTATATTATTTGTATCGAGGTACTGCGTTAGGGGCCCATTCATGATTTAGTCCCTTTGTGCAGGGTACTGTCCTAACACAGAATAAAAGGCTGTACCTGCCCCAAACAGCTTTCAACCTATGGCCTTGATTCTGCAAAGACATATGTACATACAGTACTTAACTTCATACATATAAACCATCTTGAATGCAAGACAGACATTTTCTGGAGAAGTCTGGACAAGGAGATGTAGATTGAGAAGCTAAAGTACATGTTGGGATATAACAGGGGTGACCAACCTGCGGCCAGCAAGCCGCATGCGGCTCCTGAAGAAAAAAATTGCAGCTCCTGACGGAACCGGGACAGAACCCAGAACACTCAGGTCAGCCACTCTCATGGCTAGGCTGCTGTGAGTCACATGTGTGCTGACAGCCCGCACCGTTCCGCTCACGGCCCCCAGCACACTACGTCATATCCTGCACGTGCAGGCCGGATCACACACAGCGTCCCAGCCTCCACGTGCTAGCAACCAGCTGCTGAGCGCAGGCAGCAGCTCCAGGTGCAGCGGTGCCAGCAGCGGCTCCGGGACCTGGGCATAAGGTTGGAAGAGAGGGGGATTGGGTTAGAGCAGGGATGGGAGGTGTCTGGCTGTGAGGAAGGGGAGGGGAACTGGGTTGGGGGGGGGATGCAAAGAAACATGAAAAAAGTTTGACATTAATTTAGTGTTTTCTTTCCCTTTTTATTAAGACAGGTGTTTATACCAGACAAAGACACAACATATTGGTGCCAGATGTTTAAGATACCTATACATCATGAAAAGCATCATGTGATAAAGGTATGTGACTCTGAAGAGTTCAATATATACCCTCATGTTTAGAGAAGTTCAAAGGATAGCAATTCAGAAACTTTCATGACACTTGATATTACATCACAATTACATTACATCTTATTTAGAAAATACTGGACATTTATATTTTCTCATTTATATTTTCTCAATTTGTTTCCCGAACAGAAAGCTCAAATACTGGACAGTCCAGTTCAAAACTAGACACCTGGCAACCCTAGTCCCAGTCGGTGCACAGACCCCAACTAGCCACAGCATCCTGTCTCTGGCCCCTATCCTCGGGCAGGCCCCACAGTCCAGCCTTCATCTGGCTGCAGGAAGGGACTGGTGGTGGCTGCAGGATGGGTAGGAGGGGAAGCAACGATCCAGCTGCATGAACAGAGGGGGGTTGGCAAGCATAGCAAACAGAAGGTACAGCCCCCTAGTAGTAATACATTTGTAATGTACTTGTCATAATTACAAAGTATACCCTGTGTAATTGAGAGGAAGCTTTTTAAACCAGAGTCTGTACCAGGCACTGAACAGGTTTTTTTTGCATCTCTTGTGTGGCCCTGATTGATTTTTCTGTGGGTCAGTGACCACTGACTCAAACAGGTTCCCCACTCCTCTCATAAATAAAGACAACACTGAAACATTTTGTGTTTGACATAATATTTTATTTAAAAATGAAACCTGGACAACAATCCCCCAATTGGGGCCAAGCCCCCATCTGGCCACAGCATCATAACACTCTGGCACCACCCCCAGGTCCCAAACCTGAGCCTATCATACACTGGAACCCCGTCCTGAGCCTCTCACATCCCCAAACTCCTGCACCCTCACATCCCCAGTCTTCTGCCACAACACTCCTACACCGTCCACACACTTAAAATCTGTGCCCTGAGCCCATCATACTCCCAATCCCCTGCCCTTCATACACTCCAACGCAAACTCCTGCACCCTCACATCCACAAGCTTGCGCCTTGCTCAGACCTCCACCTGACCCCAACACTCTCCAGCCTGGAGTCCCCACCATGAACCAGCATCCCCTTTTCCACCTCCTCCTGTATCCAGATTCCCCCCCAGAGCTTGCACCTCTTACCCCTTCCCACACCCAAATCCCTCATTCCCACCCCAGAGCCCACACCTCCTGCCTCAAGCCAGTGAGAGCGAGTAAGCCAAAAAAAAACAAAACAAAACAAAACAAAACAAAAACAAAAACAAAAAAAAGGAGGGGAGGGTTGCGAAGACCCGGGGAAAAGTTGTTAACAACAACAAAAGCCATGGATGTACCAGTACCTGTTTACCCCAGAGCAGCTTTTTTTTCCCCTCAACAACTTTTCCCAGGCTCTTCACACTGTCTCCACTGCTATTGTAGCTCTAGAATGAGTTGGCCACCCCTAAGATATAAAGACACTTTGTCCAGCAGCATTGGGATCCTTATTACATTTAAATAGTTTGTCAGAAATACAGTAAGTATAAAGGCAGAGACTGGAAAAACTACAGTTATGAGATATTTTTAATTGAGAGTCTCCTAACTGCAAAGTTTTACCTAAGTGTTTTTCTGTATTCTTCATGTGCCACAGAGTAAGATTAATCTAAAATATCAGTTAGTTGGTTATATTTTCAACCCAATCAAAGATCAAACAAACGTTAAAATGGTAGTACTTTCTGGATAAAGATAAATTTAGCTTACCGGATTGTTATCACTCCATTCCCAGGTTCCTAGAGAATCTGGATTCCTCTTATTGAGTCCTACCCAGACCCATCGGTCATTACTGTAAACACAGATAAAAAAAAGTAATCACAAGTGTATGTTCATTCTAGTACATGAATGAAAAGTGAGTAATTTTAAAAGCCTCTCTTTGTGTGTCAAACTTTGGAGACCAGTATAAAAACACAAGTATAGTACCTAACTTGCAAATCCTTCACTTTGTTCTGGATAAATTACTAGTATTATATCTCAGTTTAACTAGGCTCTGACAGTACTTATTAAGGAAAATATTATTAACTGGGAGTCCCATTACCTAGGATAGAGGATTTATTTAAAGCAAAAGTAGCACAGATAAAACAAGCACATACTTCCCAGTGACTTCAATGAACTTTAAAATGCAGGATTGTCTTTTTTTTTTTTCTTTAAATAGTGGGGTAATTAAAACTTAAAATTCTCAGCTCCATTCCAAGAGAAAGGTTGTCATATATAAGGGGATTTCAATGCATATATTTAAAACTGCAGTAATACCACAGTTCTATTAATAGGTCTCTTTAAGGGCATTACGATAGCATGAGATAGATCTGGGTCAGAAGTCTTGGAACACGCAGGAGTGTATGGGAGTGAAAGAAGAAAACAGAACCTGCTCTTTAGCCTCTATTATTCCACTGCATGGATTGTAGGCTCATGCAGGACTGATACTATTTCTAAGCAGCTAGGATCCAAAGCTACTTTTCTTACAAGACATCCTAAAAATCTATGGGAACGACAGATATCCATTTTACAGATATTAGCCTGTCCCTGCTCCTGAAGGAACAAAAGCATAGCTTTTGTCCATACCTCGCTGCCATCACCCAATAATTTGCTTTTTCTAAAGTTTGGAAAAGCTGCCTCTGGAAAGTTAATAGCCACAGCCCAGCAGCAAGTGATGATGCTTTAACTTATATTTCCCAAAAAATAAGTGGATGCTTCATCAGTGGATGTTTGAATCTTCCCATGACCATGCCCTGTTCTTGGTGGGGCCTTTTATTTATTTATTTATTTTTAAAACAAAGTACAGAAGAAGAATTACAAAGTACAGCGGAAGAATTCGGCACGCAGCTGGTCTTCCTCTCACACTGCGGCAAAGCTGAAAGTACCATACAACACTTTGGAGGTGGATATTTGATATTACTGTATAATATTGTACTATTGTATTATTCTAGTAAAGTCATCTTTTTTTTAATAAATATTTTGATTGTCAACAAACCTGACAGGTATTTAAAATATGAAAACTGAAACCAATTAAGATTGACCCATATAAATCATTTTTTATTCTTCGGTGGATTAATACAGGAGTAATTTTTTTCAAATAAAAAATCCTGGAATGTGGAAGTCTGATAAAAACTTCCAACTAGAGCTGAGTGGATAATTAATTTTTTGATTTAGTGTTCAAAATGGATTTTTTCCTCTGAGACAAAAAAAAAAAGTGCTTAGGTCAAATGAGTCAACACAAAATTAGTTCTCAATTGAAATGTCAACATTGTTTGTTTAGAAAATGTCAAAATGAGCTATTTTGATTTTTAAAAAAAAATAATGAATTTTCATTTTTATTCTCTCACACCTGCACTTTTCAGAAAATTCACTATTTGCCAGACAGGTCAATCAGTTTTACCACTACTCTTAAGAACTGTTTTGAAAAATGTACATGCTGCTGACAGTTGGTGGCATCACCATGGAACATGAAAATGTTTCGAAGACCTATTTTTAAAAATCTGTTGTAGAACCTAAGAACAGTGTCCTTATAGTTAATTCTTGTCAAAATCTGCAAGAAACAACTGAAAAAATTCAAGAAACCCATACATACGAACAGAACTTTCCAGATTTAAAGCAGGTGAAGAAGCTGATTTGTGTATATAGTATACACCCAGGCAAGCTGAGAGTAGTCAGATTGCTCCTTTCCAGTTGATATAGCATGTTTCAAGTAAGACACATAACCAAACCCAAATTGCTACTTTCTATCAAACACTTCCAGAACTCTACCCTGTTACTAAGTATAAAACTGACACAAAAAACCCTCGGGATATGTCTACACTGCAAAGTCAATTCAAAATACCAATTATTTCTAATTAACTTCAATAGCGTCTATACACGCAAACCGCTATTTTGAATTTAATTCTAAATAGTGGAGCCCTTCATTTGAATTTGGTAAACCTCATTCTACGAGGAGTAATGCCAAACTAGAAATAGCTATTTCAAATTAAGTGCTGTGTAGACAATTAATTCGAAATAGGGGGCCTCCAGCCCTTCCCAGGGAGCCCTGGTGGCCACTCTGGGCACAACCAGGAAAACTTACTCTTCTCTCCCCCTACC